CATTCTTTCTAACAGGACCTTCATCAAGCTGGTATCCTTCAAAATCCCTAATTCCCTGGATCTGTTCTAAGCAGAATTATACCCCCACCAAAAATAATATCTATAACATTTAGCTTTATACTCATAAGTTTATGTATGATAGTAAGATTCCTTCAGAGAAAGTAGACAACATATTGCTTAGTGTTTGTTTACCCAGGTTGAGAATGCAAACATGCTAACTGTGGAACTGTTGTAAGAGCGAAAGTTGCTGGGTATATTTTTAGGGGGCTCTCATTTGTGCTTGTATGATTGGCCTTTCCAAAGCATTCTTGCTAGTAACCCCCTCGCCCAACACACATGCACATATATTCCCTCATGCCTGTATTATTCCTGGCAGCTATCCCACTTTTAATTTAATTTAATAATTTAATGTGAAAGTGTTGTCGTAAGCAACTTTCCCAACCTGGCACATTTCAGAATTGCTAGACAAGGCCCTCCAGTGGCCATGCCCTCAAAGTGGTAGATTAACAAATCTAGAGGAAACCAGGAAAGCTGCCATGGAAGGTCTTTTACATTGTTCCCATGTAAATCCCATGCAACGATTCACCTGCTTCTATAATTAGTCTATAAGAAATAACATAAAGATTATAGTTGTAACAGCAGGAAAAGCTGATGGCCAGAAATGACTAATCAGTTCAGAAAACAAGGCCAAGAAATTATCTTCCATGTATTTCCTTGTCTGAAGATTGCATTGAAATTTACTTGGCTTATTTTGGTTGATTTATTAGGATTCAACTGAATTGTTTATACCATTTGTGGTTGCTAAGTTTTCATAACGAGGACTCCATAGTATGTTCAAAGGTTGCTGATTAAGACTTCAGGCTAAGATGACTTTATGGAGAATTCAATTCTGGTCAAATGGATTGTAGCCAAACTCAGTTCTGTCTGATTCATAAATAACATGAAAATGTCTGATGAAATAATTGAGCGAATATGGAACTCTAGGCACACATGATGCCTCCTGCTAGTATCATCACCCAGCCAACCTCCAACATGAATGATTCTTCCCTGTTACTCAACTTAATATTAGTTGCTAATGCTAACAGGAAATACAAAAAATTCCAGATAGGACGGCACCCTAGAGGCACAGGCACCCAAGAGGCCTTGGCTACAGATATAAATCTAGGCAAATTTTAACCATATGTAGGAGCCATGGCTTTCTAAATAAAACCTCTTCTAAAACATCTATTTTATTATTTGCAGCCATAGTGGATCGTCAGTTTATCTATGTTGTAAACCGTCCAGAGATGCAAGTAATTGGACGGCATACACATTCTATAAATAAATAAATAAATAAATATGAATCACATTAAGTCTAATTTGCACTTCCAGCCACGTAAGCTCTTCTCTGAGGTATGTGCAGCTGCAGGAACTTGATATGAAAGAGTTAAATATGGCAGGACTGTGCACATATTTTCTGGCCAGGAAGCAGGGAATTACTTCATTGGCCAGATCCAGATTGTGCTTTGTATACATTTACTTGGAATTATCTTTCATATTGTGGCCAGTATGAATCAGCTTCTAAATTACTCATAGGAGTTTAATTAATTTGGCTTATTGGTATTCTTATTCTTCTTCTTATCTTGCATTTATATCCTAGCTCTTTACTTTGTGTGAGTAATCCAGGGAGGCTCCATTTTATCCTTACAACAACCCTGCACAATAAGTTAGTCTGAGAGTGATTGACCGTAGTTGTCCAGTGAGCTTCGTTGCCAAGTGCAAACCATCACCCAAATCTCCCAGATCCACTACAACACATTGGTTTAGCCATATAAATTGGAGACTTCTAGACTAGTTTAGAAAAAGCAGGCCTACTTTGGATTTTGACATTCAGTAAAAAATGTTCTCCCTTCATCTTTCCCATTGTATGCTGACTTTGGAGCAAAGATCCTGACTTGTATGAATACTGAGTTCCCTGTTACATTTAAGCTAAGTAACTCTGGCTTAGTCTCAGTTACCAAACCAGAAGAACAAACATCTGTAATTGTTTTCTACTTTTAGTATCCAAACCCGAAACTACTTCCTGAAGAATGTTTTTATGTTTTAATTGTGGTGCAATATCAGATAGTGTTCAATAATATAATCAGATAATAAAGGTAACTGAGGTGACTGAATTGTCTATATTTATTAAGCTATTAATTTATTATTAAATTTATATACCGCTTTTTCTTACAAGAAACTCAAAGCAGCTTACATCATTTTCATCTTCACTCATCCCAAAAGTTGAGTTTTTTAAATCTCTGTATGATGAACTGTATGCATTTTTGCACATATTTCTCTCAATACATGCATTTTTGTACACATTGTTGTCTAATATACAGAATTTGTAGGCAATTTTTCTAATATAACAATTTGAACATTATTTTCACTAATAAATGATGTTTACTGTACTTTATGCAATGATGTTTACTGTACTTTTACTGTATGCAATATAGCATAAATTGCTGTTTTTGAGAGCTCTTTACAAAATTTAGAGAAGTGTAATGTCAAAGGATTGCAGAATTGTAATTGAAATTCTGGTTTGAAAGTACAGGTTTAACTAACTGTATGATTGTATACAGTCAGTTAATAATGTTTAAGACATTAGAAATTTGTTACTAGGGAGCTATAATGCTGTCTGTGTGTGTATTCAGATCTTGCCCTTTCAGGAACTCAGCAGAGAAGCGGGGTGCTTATTAGTAAAGTGAAGAACTAGAAAAATGCACTTGGATTTGGTTTGGCTTGTTCTGTTGTCTCCTCTTAAATAATATTGTACAGGAAAAACCTCCTGGGTTGGTTGTAAGTGTGGTTTGCCTCATTGTGTACATCCCAGATGGTTCATAAAAACCCTTTGAAATGCCATCTGTCAGGCGTGTGTCCAGCCAGCAGCTTGTCATTCCACTACAAGAAAGGAGGGTGTTGGGATTTCTTTCCCCTTTGTTTTCTTCACTCCTTTTTGAATTGCACTGGGGAACATTTGCTTAGATGTAGTGACACTGAGAGTTATCATTGCACTGCTTGGTAATGTTGACTGTGATTGCATGTAACCCTGTGGATCCCACAGAATGAGAGGCGCAGTGTCAGTGGGAATTGCATCTTAAGATACACTTTAAATTTCTATCTTTATGTGGTCAGCATCACAAAGTTGCAAGGCTGTTCTGAATGTGCTTGTGTTCAGAGCACAAGTAAAACCAGATGAAATGAGATGGGTCAACGTAAGTGTCAAGGAATAAATTAACATCCTAGGCAACTCTTTGTTCTCAGAGCATCATACATAAGCAGTGGGCTAACTTGTGCATGTAAGAACAAACACAGTTTGACACAAATTTGTTTGCTTTTTCTTTGAGCACTCATTACTAAAGTAGAACATGCAAGGTTCACAACACTACATTTTCTGTCTCAGTCATTTGGAAATTATTTTCTTCTTCTGTGTAATGTATCCACATTCACACTCTGTCAGCTCCCTAGTCAAAGTACAACTCTTAATTACTGATTTCAGTCGAAGATTAAAGTTAACCACGAGTAAATCTCCCATTGAAAGCAATGGGGTGTATAACTCTGCCTTGATTGTATCTAATTTTTTTCTGAATGTATAATTCATTCAGGATGGATTAGCTGACAACCCCCATGTTGAATAACAAGGGGGAACACTGACATGAAACAAATAGCACTTTTCAAACATATTAGAAAATTTATCTTGCAATTTTGACTGATGTGAGGATGCAATACAAATAGGGGTGGGAGGGAATGATCAAATGCTAGCCATTGTCATAAAAGTACAGGTGAAAAATGTGGGAGTGCATATTTATATATTTCATGGAAGTGTTGGCTTGTAGAAGAAAGCTTTGCGAAATTAAATAAAGCAGAAGTAATCCTAGATTCCCCTGTATAAATTGACGGAGAGGCTTTGAGATTGGTGAAAGTGTGCATGTATTCTCTATAGAGGCCAACTAGAGAAAGATTTTCATTTCTATGTATCTCACAAGTCTATGCATCAGAGAGCCTTAGATACAGGGATGCAAGTGTCAGGCTTTCATGGAGGATAAAGCTATCTGTGGTTAGTAGACAGGATGGCCGAATGTTGCTTCTCATATCAGCAACAGTACCTCTTCCTACATCACTTAAAGGGAAGGACGCGCAGGAGCATGCTAGTGCAGTCATATATTGCTTCTGCACTTCCCAGAGGCATTTGGTTGGCCACTGGGAAAGCAGAAAGTGGACAAGTTAGGCCTTTGCTGTGATCCAGCACAGTTGTTAAGGTGGCATCCCACTGCAGAACTTCAGCTTCACTGCTGCCTAAGGGTAGTAGCCAGTTCCATTTATGACATTGACATGGCCCTTTAGTACAACATACAAGAGTATATATTGGAGTGATTGGATTTTTATGCCATTCTATGGATGGAGCAGCAGTATTAACCACTGCCCAATGGATGGAGTGAAACAAAGAACTGCAGGCGTTTATAGAAGAGTCCTTGCAGAATCACAAAGTCCTTGCAGCAACAGATTAGGATAGCATTTCTGGTAGTGCCATTAAGAGTACCCTCAGTATTGGCCCTCTCTGATAATAACCCAAATTGTCAGAGAAGAGAGGTCTTGGTATGTGAAACGGTACTGAGACAAAGCCATCTAATCTGTTGTGGCTAAAAACAAATCATAAACTTGTGACATGTTAAACACCAATTTATCCTGGTTTATGCTGCCATGTAATCTGGTAAGTGTATTAGTCTTTAAGGTGCATCAAGGTGCTTTCCTTATTTTTGCTTTGAATGGTGGTGGTTATAGATGCAAGGAATACCAAGCCTCAAATTGGGATGCAGCTTTATTTTGACTGTTCTTCACTACATGACATCTGTTCCCAGAAGATTCTCCAGCAGCTTTGGCACCATTCTTTCTATTGGCAGTGTCATACTATGTTATTTGTTTCATGCTGCTACTGCTATGTGAACACTTATGTTTGTTTTGCCTTGTTTTTTCTTATCTAGGCACAACACGTCCTCCACGAGAAGGAGAAGTGCCTGGTGTGGACTATAACTTTCTGACTGTACAGGAGTTTCTTGAGCTTGAAAAAAGTGGCACACTTCTTGAAGTAGGAACATATGAAGGTATGTGATGAGAGATTGCAGTGAGGCACATCATGGTGAAGAAGGCTTGCAGAAATATCTGGAAATCCTCTTGAGTAACTTTGGCTTTCACTGTTAAGTAACTAACCATCTTTGCTAGTAACACCATTTCCACCCCAACTCCACAGTGAAGCATGTTTAAAAGGCAGGAGTATCCATGGAAATGTTGAAGTTCTATTTTTCATCTTTAATTCCAGCATGTGCTACAGATAATGATTGCTTGGTGCATTCTCTGTTTATTTAGCTTGGATTGCCCAAGTGTATCAGTCAGTTTGGAGATAGCTGGTTTCTTAATGGCACTACAAGTCAAACAACTCGGGGTTGGATTCTTACTAATATGTCTAGGTGGGTGCTCGAGTACAGGATTATCCGTACTATTTATTATTGGATTGTGGCTACTGTTTTTCTTCTGTGGATTCCTCCTTCCCCTAGATTAGACAGGTGATGAGATCTGTTGCTGTCCTTGCCCTCTTCTATGAATATGCCTGCCGGCTGTGTGTCTTGCTATTTTCATAGAGCTCCGCTATGATGATACAGTATGTGAAAGGAAAAAGCAGGTATCTTGTTGAAGAGGTTGCAGATATTGTAAGGGGCCGAGCAGTACATTCCAAAACATCTGGAGGGTGGCAGGCTGAAGAAGGCTGCGTTAGATCACTGAGATTTGGTGACTGCAGAATATTTTCTTTCATGTACATTTTCTCACCTACAGTTATGGTGAAAGTAGCAAACCCCAACTCACAAAATGTCCCGATCTGGCATGTGAGGGCGTGACGAAGGATCTGTCCTTCTCTGATGACTTTCTCCTTGACCCCATCTTGTTGGAAAAGGTCAAATTCAAGAGAAGCCAGTTCTATTGGGCGATGCTGCCTCAAATCATGTGGTGCAGTTGTGTAGGCTTCTTTCACTTCTTCCGTCAGGACAAGGTCAAGAAGGGCAGCCTCAGTTGCTTCTAAATCAACTGAGCAGATAATCACAGAATGATCAAATTATAGACTCATAGAATTGTAGAGCTGGAAGGGACCAGAAGTTAAACATCCTTCTCATCAGTCACCAGTATGCCCAGCTAACTGTGAAACAACGGAGGCAGTTGGGCAGTGCTAGTTTCCTATAGTCCCCTCTTCAGTGTTTCTAAGCAGTTTCCCAGTCAACTGAACAAGCACTAGTGGGATAGTGGGGAGAAGAGACTGTATTGTTTATGAGTGAGAAAGTGCAGCACATTCTCTGTGGTTTTGCTGTTTTCCAGTCTGCCAAAAGGCAAGGCTGGAAAGGTTGCAGGATGGTCAGTTTATCTGCATGCATATGTATGCCTGCTGGATATGTGCATATGAAAGAAGGAGAAACCGCTTTGGCTTTAGCCCAACCAACATTCAGTCCTTGAGAGTCTAGCACAAGAAAATGTAGCCCTCAAACTGAACAAGGTTCGCTGCCCTGATATGTAGTGTTGGGTTTTCATGTCTTCTTAAAGTATGCCTATATGCCTAAATGCAGTGTAATAATAAATTTATACAGATACTTGGTAAAAGAAGCTTTGTGTACTGGAATTGTGATAGTGTTGTTTAAAAACTAAAAGAGTGCAATATGTGTTTGGAATTCTTATGCTTTTTCTGGTCATAATAATTAGGGACTGGGTAAGTAGTGATTGGGGTTCTACAGGAGTCCACTGGGTGAAGAATTTTCATTCTCCATCCAAACAGCATCTTTATTCCAAGGCAATACCTGTTTTGGAAGGCTTGTCCTCCACTTCTCACACCTGAGTAATTAAACTGCATGTTGATCTCCTGCACTTATATTCCCCTGCATAATAAAGTGCTGCCCTGTATTCTTTGTTTTAATAAAGTGGCATTACACTGTATGTGAAAAGCTAGTTTTTGTCACTTAAGCCTCCCCTCCACACAGTTGCCAGCTTACCTTGCCATGTTGCCCAGCAAAGCAGGGTGAGCACCTTGCAGACCTCTCTTTGGTGTTTCTGAGCAGCTTCCATTCATCAGAGCAAGCTGGGTGGTGGAATTGTGAGGCAAAATATGTGTATCTTGTTCTCTTATGAGAACTGTTGGGATATGTGGACTTTCCACTGCAGTAAAATTACTTTGGATTTCACTTATACTTACGGTTTAGTAAGCTAACTGTACCTGAGATTGCGAAACTGACAAGGGATCCTAGGGAGGGAGCTTGCCTTCTTTTATTAATTATAATTTGCTTTATACATTTGAGTCATTTCAAGCAATTTGATATCTCTGTGTTAGGCTTGATGCATCTTCACTCACACTGTGGAACATGACCACAATGGTTGTGGTCCATGTAGTCTTCTGAGCCACAAGAAGATGTGGGACACTTAATAGCTCCCTGGGACCACTTTGCACAACACTTTGTAGGTAATGCCAATCTATCTATGCTAACTTGAATGCCATAGTTGGTAGAGGTCTGGTAGATATAATTCTGGCTCCTGTTTGTCCAGTTTCAATGGACATCCTTAAACTGTGCGTCCTGCAGACATGGACGAGTTACTTGGAGAACTTGCTTTTTGTGCCCACACCCTTTCTGGTTTATAAAAGCAGTCAGTAAGAACAGCTGAGTCAATAAGAGCAGTGATGAACCTTCAGCCCCACTGTGTTGGATAATCTCCGATATTCTATTCTTGGGCAAGGTACTGGAGCATATGGTGGCTTCTCAGCTGGATGGCTTTCTGGATAAGATAGATTACCTAGATCCACTTCAACCAGGCTTCAAGCCTGATTATGGGACAGAGACTGCTTTGGTTACCTTGGTGGACAATCTGTGCTGGGAACTTGACAGGAGTAGTATATCATCCTTAGTTCTGCAGGACCTCTCAATAACTTTGCATACTATCAAAATGGTATCGTTCTGGGGCATCTGTCTGACATGGGATTTTGAGGGTTTAGGGTTATATGGTGGCTTTGGTCCTTCTTGGAGGGATAGTCTCAGAAGGTAATGCTGCGAGATACCTATTCAATGCCATGACCATCATTGTGGTGTGATTCAGGGTTCTGCCTCATCTGCAATGCAGATGAAACGTCTGGGAGACTTTGTCTGGAGTTTTAGGGTTTGGTAACACCGGTATATTAAAGGCACCCAGCTCTTTCTCTCTTTCAATCTAAATCAGAGGAAGTTGTTCTGGCAGTTTGGTGGGTGATGCTGGTAGTGGACTAAATGAGGGGAAACAAATTGAAGCTTAATGGAGACAAGAGAGATGCTGCTGATCAGTCAAAAGGTCAATCAAGGAATAGGTATCTGTTCAACTTGTGCTGGGTGGAGTTAGACTCACTTGATTATTAAGTTTGGCAGTTTGGCAGTACTCTTGTACACAGCCATGAACTCTCAGGTCTCAGCAGCAGTCCACTGTGTGTTTGGAAGCTAATGCACCAGCTGCCCCCATTTCAGAGATGCCTGATATGGCCACTGTCATTCATGCTTTGGGTTACATCCACTTGGACTAACATGCTCTATGTGGAGCTGATTTTGAAAACTGCTCAGGCATTTCTGCTGGCCCAGAATGCTGTGTCCAGACTGTTGACTGGAGGATGTGACTTCCTTGTAACAGCAGCCTTACTGGCTCCAAGTCTGCTGCCGAGCAGAATTCAGATTGCTGACCTATGAAGCCCTATATAGTTTAGGACCTGGCTACCTGAAAGACTCCTTTATCTCATGTGAGCCTGACTGGTCCTTAAGATCTGGAGAGACCCTGTTTTTGATGCTTCCACCACTGGGTTTTTTTAAACTCGTGGTGGTGGTTGTTTTGTCCTTGTTGATTCTGAATTTGTTTCCAATGCCTTTGGAATTTGACTTTAACATGGTTTAAATTGACTTATAATTTTAGAAAGGTTGAAATTATGATGAATGTAGTGTTGTGATTTTCTCTTGTTAGCTAAAGGTCACTTGTTCTGTCAACCAGAGAAAAGGGGCTATTATGATTGTGTGACATTAGGATGCTGGAATGTATTCATCATGCTAACGTTATTTTGGTAACATTTTAATGAATATTTTTGAACTTAAATCATGTTGGCAGGCACTGCTGGGAATCGTAGTCCAAACCACCTGGAGGATACCTTAAGGATCCTTAGAAAATAAACATTCAGAAAACTCAGGAGGCAGTCCTATACATGTTTAGACAGAAAAGGACTCAAACGTTTCAGTATTCGCCAATCACCCATGTATTTTTGTCCAAAAATTCTGAGATATCCTTAAACACAATCAGTATAGATCTTGGCAGAACATATTGTAAGAAGATCCTAGGGTCAGACCAAGGACCTTTCTAGCCCATCATTCTGTTCTCACAGTGAGTGATTGTATATCTCTGGAAAGACCCAAGCAAACCATGAGGACAGTCTGCTTCACAGAGTTTTTCTGAGGTTAAAGTGGAGAGGAGGAGAACCCTATAAGGCACTGTGGGTTTCTTGGAAGCAGAAAGAAGGGGAAATAAAAATATAATGAGTAAAATGGACCTCTCTCACTCTTATATCGTGACTGGGATTCAAAGCTATATTATCTTGGTAATGAAGGCAGCATACAATCATCCTGACTAGTAGCCATGGACGTTAGATTATAAAAAGTCAAATTTAATCCACTAACTCGCTTTAAGAAAGAATATATAATGATAGCCCTTCAACACCAAACACAAAATCAAAATACCTATTAAAAAATTAGAAACTATATTTGGCTGGAATCAACTGTTACAGGAGACATGACTGGAGCTTTTCCCATTCTTGCTCCCTTTAGTAGGCTCTCTGTTGCAGAGGGCAGGAAGACTATTGTGTGAAGATGTCACATGGTACAGTTTCTCACCTTTTCTTCTGCACATGGTTTGTGAGCACAGCATTTCCAAGACTGCTTTCTCCATATGGGCTTGCCCAAACCTGGCCTTCTCCATCGGAAGCCCAGTTATGCAGGCCAGTCCCCCCCCCCCCATATGGGAGCAACTACACAAAAGGCCTTTTGTGCAGCAGCACGTCAGAGTTAGAATTCCC